GGTGCGAGTTGATGTGTTATTGTATTCCCGCCAGTTGGTCCACGCGAGGGTGACTAAAGCCGGTGTGTCTTGTGTGGCTACCTTTGTTTATGCCAGCCCCAATGCAGCGCTACGTAAAAACCTTTGGTCTGATCTGGAGGTTGTGGCGGATGGGGTTTCTGAACCATGGATAATTGAAGGTGATTTTAATTGTCTTCTGAGGCGATCCGAGAAGGTGGGGGGTCCCCCTTGCATTGCAACATTAGTGAGGAGTTTGCTGATTGGATTTTCAATAATAGCCTGCAGGAAGTGGCAACGGATGGGCACCACTTCACCTGGTCCCGGGACACTCGCTATGGAAGGGTGGCAGAGAAACTTGACCGCTTTGTGGCTAATATTTCATGGTTAGACAAGTTAGAACTTAGTCGGTCTCGTCTTCTTCCGAGGCTTCAGTCATACCACTCCCCGCTCCTACTGGGCTTTGGCGGGCACATTCCACTGTCTGTTGGGACAAAGTCGTTCCATTTTCTGGCCGCGTGGCTTACTCACCCTGAGTTCAAGGATCTACTCCATAATTCATGGAACTCCTCCTTGGGCTATCTAGAGGCAGCTGAAACATTTACGGTGGCGGCAACAGATTGGAATCACCAAGTCTTCGGGAATTCTTTCATCGAAAGAAGAGGTTGCTGGCTCAGCTGGGTGGAATTCAGCGCTCTCGCCATATTCACCACCACCTTGTGACTCTTGAGAAACAGCTACAGGCCGAGTTAGAAGCTGTGATCAGACAAGAAGAACTGCTTCTTATGCAAAAGGCGACGAGGGACTGGAATTTTCTCAATGACCGAAATACTTCATATTACCACAGACAAATCAAATACCGGCATCGGAGGGGTTGTATTACGGAGTTAACGGATGCCGAAGGAACCCGAGTCACGGACTAGAAGGCACTATGTCGGATGGCGACCGAGTTCTTAGGGGAATCTTCACGGTCGGCCTAGGCCCGGCTTTGCAGGAGCCCCAGCTGAATTTGTTCCCTTCGTGTGATGGTAAGCTTATGAGTGGAATAGGGGACAACCTTACAAATGATGAGATTTCATCGACCCTTCATCATATGGGCCCTCTTAAAGCGCCAGGGAAGGACGGTCTTCATGCTCTTTTCTTTCAGCAGAACTATGATATTGTGGGGTTGTCGGTAAAGCGGATGATTCGTGGAATGTGGCATTTTGGCATGGTCCCTCAAGAGGTAAATCAATCTTTATTGGTGCTTATTCCCAAGGTCGATAATCCTAGCACTATTCGACAATTTCGGCCGATAAGCCTGTTGAATGTGATCTATATAATCTTCACTAAGATGTTGGCGAACAGGCTGAAGTGTACCTTACCCGCCTTGATTCATCCGGCCCAAGCCAGTTTTGTCTCGGGCCGTCAGATTACAGACAACATTATTGTGGCCCAAGAACTCATTCATTCGATGCGTATAAGACGGGGGGCTAAGGGCTTTATGGTCATTAAAGTAGATTTAGAATAGGCTTACGACTATCTGCGTTGGGCCTATATTGAAGAACCCTGGTTCTTGCTGGCTTCCCTCAGAAGTTTGTGCAAGCGGTTATGGCTTGTCTTACGTCTGCTTCCATGAATCTTCTATGGAATGGTACGATAGGTGAGGAGTTTTCCCTCACGAGGGGAGTACAACAAGGTGATCCTATATCTCCATATCTTTTTGTTCTATGTAGGGAGAGACTAGCTCAGAGCCTATGCAAGTCGGTGGAGGATCGACAGTGGCGCCCTATTTTGGTTGATCGGAACGCAGTTTCCGTGCCCTTCTTGATGTTCGCCGATGACCTACTTCTCTTTATGGAGGCCTCGGATGATCAAGTGGCCACCCTTAAACATGTCCTTGATAACTTCTGTGCTCGGTCGGGTCTTCGTGTAAGTCCTGATAAGACCCAGGTCTTTTTCTCTCGTAATGTCCCGGAGCATGGGCAGCGTAGGTTTGCTTCGGCCTTGAATTTCAAGTTAACGACTAATTTGGGTAAATATTTGGGTGTGCCTATCCTCCATGACCGTCTATCCAAAGACACATACAACCACATTTTGGAGAAGACAAATATGCGTTTAGCCGGATGGCTTATAAAAACGCTATCTCTAGCCGGGTGGGTGATTCTGACTCAATCGGTGCTGAGTGCGTTACCCTTCTTTTTGATGCAAACTTCCATACTACCAAGGGTGACCACCGATGGGCTTGCTAAGAAGTGTCGGACGTCATTTGGGGAGGCACGAATGAAAAAAAGAAAATACACCTCGTGGCGTGGAAGGATGTATGCCGGCAGAAAAGCAAAGGTGGTTTTGGTCTACGGGACCTCTGACTCATGAATGATGCTCTGATAATGAAAGTGGGATGGGGCTTGTTGACTAAACCAGAATCTTTGTGTACTCGAGTAATCTCCGCAAATATGGCTTGAATCTCTCAGCTTCGATAGAGTTGGGACAAAGGCAACAGATGTCCAATTTAATGCGGGCAGTTCGCCATGTCTGGCCTGATGTGGTTAACGGTATCCGGTGGGTCCTTGGCGCGAGAACGCGACTCTGGCTCGACACATGGTTAGACTCGAGTGGACCGTTGGTGAGGTTTATCAACCCTAACTCTCCTTCGATTAATACTAATGCAGTAGTCGCGGATTACGTGGATGCGAATGGCGACTGGATGTGGTATTGCTTTCATGGGGTCCTCCCTTCTTCAGTCATCCTCAAAATCGCTGGCACTATGCCACCGCGCGCGACTGCTGGCGATGATAGTATTGCTTGGGCGCACTCAGAGAACGATCGTTTTTCGACAAAATTGGCTTATCAGTTTCTTGCCGGACCCGGGACTGTTGTTGATCGTTCTTTATGGAAGATGATTTGGCGTACCCCTGTACCTCAACGGGCACGAACCTTCTTGTGGCTAGCTGCAAAAGATCGTTTACTCACTAATGTTGAGCGACTGCGACGGCACCTTTCGGCATCAGCCGCTTGTGACATATGCGGAGGATTGGAGTCGGTGATCTATGTGTTTCGAGATTGTCCATCAACCTGCAACCTGTGGAAAAGACTACTACCGACGGATCACGATGTGAGTTTTTTTAGTTTGCCATTAATTTAGTGGATGCGCATGAACTTGTCTTTGGCGCGAGTGGGAACCTGTGCGAACTGGAACAACATTTTTGCGATAACTATTTGGCGAGCATGGTTTTGGCGTAATGAAAGCATCTTTAACAATCAGGTCGTGTCGGCTGAGAGCAGGAGGATGGAGGTACTGCGAATGTCGACGAGATACTCTCGAGCTATGGCAGATTATAGCAAGGCTGGTGTGGTGGTGCATGTTACTCGTCTGATTTTTTTTGTCCCGACCGGAGATTGGGTGGGTTAAAATAAATACAGATGGTGCAGTGTCTAATAATGATGGCTTGAGTTGTGCCGGAGGCTTGATCCATGACGAGGATGGGCGGTGGCTTGCGGGCTTTCTTTTTAATATTGGTTCATGTACAATTACGAGTGCGGAGTTGTGGGGCCTATTTCAGGGCTTGTGGTTGGCATGGGCGAAAGGCTACCGTAATGTGATCGCGGAGGTTGATAGCCTAT